TATGCAACCGGTTTACGAATCATCTACGATTTACATGGATGGGATGACTTAACTACACTGGTGTTGAGTAGAGATTGTTCGTTAAGAGATTATATTTTTAAGTACTGGAAAAGATTTACTAAACATCAAGAGAAAGTCCCAGAAGCAACCCAATATCGACACACACGGTGTGCTTTTCTGGCGGTAACGTCTCACCAAAAGGAATGGTATGAAAATCTTGGTTTTAGGAAAAATAGCAAATTTGTAAACCGTATGCGTATAAATGCAAGGCATAGTCACACAGACTGGATAATTTTCGAGAATATCCAAAGCAAACAATATGGATACTTTCGAAGAAATACAAAGATGCTAGAGTTTTTTGCGTATAAATATTTTCTTCAACCTCCGTAAACCTCCCGATGCTCAATAAGATAGTTAAGATAGTTAGAGAATTTTAACACGGTCTAGTTATGCATTATCACTAGTAACGTTAATCTTTTTCTTTCCTCTGTTTTTTTAATCTGTGGATTATAAAATCGAGCTGTTTTATTTTTCACACGATTGTTAACCCTTTTGGAACAAATAAATTTATTACCAATGTTAAAAAAAAAAAGAATTTTTGTTGTTGATACTTTAATATAACAAACACAGGACGAAAAAGAAACCATAGTGGTCTGATTGTAAAACACAGAATAGTCGCATGTTGAGTTTAAAATATGTTATTGATCTCTTCGTACTGTTGATTAGAACTTTTAACTAGTCGAATTACAAGTGAAAAAGGAAACGAGTTGATCATTTTTCTCAAAATCCGATTTCTCGATTGAAAACGAGTTTTCACAGTGGTGTCTGGACAGTAAAATGTAGCAAATTTAATCCTGCATCTTGTATCCGCCAATCCTTCTGATTTTTCAACTAATCGCGATTAATTGTTAAAGATAGCGCGGTTCCGTCGACATGGGTGAGTACGCGACAGTAGTGGAAGGAACGAGATCTAAATATGAGGTCGGATTCCAATAACTCTTTCTGAATGTCTTGTGACAAAACAGCTAAACGGGAAGAGAAATAACAATTAATTAAAGCTATCTGGCGCAAACTTCGCACTCAAGTCTGTTTCTCTCGCAATGTACGAGAAAATTGTAATTCGGGCTTTTCTTGCAAGAATTTGTTCAACAAACGGTGCTTTTTTCGTATACTTTCTAAGCAGGAGATCGTCTTAGTGTGCTAAGACGATTTGAGTTATTGGGTTCTAACCTTGAGCTATCATGAAATTGAAGGGCTTCAAGAAATTGAAGAACTTGAAGGAAATTCTCGAAATTCAAGAAATTCAGAGAAATGCTAGAAATTCGAGCAACTCAAGAAATTCAACAAGATCATATAAGCTATGGGGTTATAAGCTTACAATATGATGGAATTCAAGAAATTCAGCCAAACCATAAAAGATGTAGGGTTATAATCTTGAACTATCATACAATTCAAGGTATTCTAGAAATTCAGGTAATTCCAGAAACTTTTCTTGAATTCCTTGCATTGGTTACATTTCGTTGAATTCCATAATGGTTTAAACTGACAGGCCACTACGCTACGTATCATTGCTAAATTCCTTGTATTTCTTGAATTTCTTGATCTTCTTCACCTATGACTAACTACCCTATACCAAGAATTTCGTGAACTGCTTGATGCTCTTGAATTCCGTCATAGTTGAGACCTATAACTAACCACGTTATGTATCTTTGTTGAATTGCTTGAATTTCTAGAATACAATATAGAATTTCAAATTATGACGTAGAGTATCACTCGAATGTAAAGTTAGTTCGGGAGCAAATTCCGTCACCATTCGAATCAACTCGTCAAGAGCTACAATTTGATGTGCAATGTTTTGTTCATTTTCACCGACTTCGGTGAATGAATTGGTGAAGGAATTTGTTCTCGATCTAACTTTACATTCGAGTGATACTCTACATCATAATTTGAAGTTCTATATTACCGGTTGTTCTTCTGTTTTTACTTTATGTTTAGATTTTCAGCTCTACGCGTTGAAACGATTTTAAGAAAATTCTAAGCGCTAAAGTTTTTCGTAGAAGCTCGTCAAATACTTACGTTTGTTCATTTTTCAATTATCTGCCGATTTAACGCAGGCTCCCACCGCCAACCTGAGCTGAGTTATTTTCTATTCTAAATGCGTTTTCATCATCACCTATAATCCGAAAAGTCCGATTTTTTCCCCGAGACAAAAGAAAGAGCACATCTTGAAATCCTTCAAAAGGCCTGAGTTTCAAGACAATCGCATAACACGTTAAAGATTTAACCTAGACCAGTTTTCTCGTGAAAGACGCGAGAGACTTAGTGGCAGTTTAAAAGCACAACACTTAATTTAAAAGGCTCGGTATTTCTTATTAAAGATAACGTGTTAATGTAGATTCGGTAAAGTGTGCAATCAACAATAAGCATAAACCAAAAGAAATTAAGCTATGGCAAAGTATGTCGTGTTTCCGTGTGTTGATTATTTGTTACAGTAGCTACCGGTAAAACTTGAGTTGCTTTCGCTCGATTCTTTCGTCTCAAACTGTGTACGAATGGAATAATTGTATTTCGTAGTAATTTGATAAGAATTGGAATAAGGAATTTTAATACTTTTACAACTCCACCGATAAGACCGATGATCGTTGTCACCATATAAAGTAAATTATGTTGTTGTTGATAGGTATAGGTACATTCTGTTACATTGCATTGCTGATAGTAGTCATCATACGAAATCTCTGGATTCCAGTGTACAACCATTAGCGTGCTTAATATTTCAGCAATAGTCATATTCGGCGGATATTTACTTGACGAAGACAACCATTTGAGAGCTGTCACATTGATAGCAGTAGATCGTCCGTAGTTCTGAAAAAGATGAAGTGACATACGTCTCGTTTTACATTTAGCAACCTTTTATATTTTGGAAAAGAAAGTTTTCTTTATCCATTTAGTACTGATTTGTTCTCCGTGTTATTATAAGTCGGTGAGTGGAAGTATTTGTCTGCAAGACTGCAGTCGCCAAAAAGCTTTTGGAAAAGGCTTTTGGCTCATCGGCCACCGAGACTTTTGCTTTCTACCTTCGACAGTAGCTATGTGAACCTTTGAATCTAAATCCGCCTTGTTGTCAAAACTATCTTGCAATTGACGACAGTGATATATGATTCACATGACATTTTGTATCGGTAGCGGCACTGTGTGCCAGCTAGGCCTAAATGAAGCCAGTAACACGGCTGCTTTTTTCTTTCTTGAAGTAACAATGTTGGGTTTAAAATATGTTTCTGATCTCTTCGTACTGTTGATTAAAGCTTTTAACTATGGGGGGAATCGAATGACAAGTGAAAATGGAAACGAGTTGATCATTTTTCTGAAAATCCGATGTCTGGATTGAAAACGAGTTTTCACAGTAGTGTCTGGAGAGTAAAATGTAGCAAATTTAATTCTACATCTTGTATCCTGCAGCCAATCCTTCTGAAAGCTGACCTTGCTTGTAAATAGAATCAACTCCCACTTTTCTTTGAAGTCGTTGTTCTACGAATTTCTGTGTAGCACAAAACTTTAGAAAATCAAATTTTGTACATAAAATATTCGTGACTGCTATCTCTGATGCTCAAAAGCGCTGATTATTGTTAATCAGCAGATTGTAAAGTTAGAAGTTTTCAATTAACAAACAGTACGAGGATAGAAAAGAATATTTTTAAGTCAGCATTGCTACTTGAGTAGGTAAGAAACACAATCAGATCTGTTTAGGAGCCGCTCGATTTTGCGCATGCCTATCGTGTCGGCTACTTTCTCCCCACGCGAGCATAATAATTCTAAAGGTTTTTTACAATTTTATACTTTGATTTCGAAGTTTCTGTCTGTTCAGGTTCGAAATTTCTAGAAAACTTGGGGACTTTTTCAACAGAGTTTGTGCATTTTTGTGTAATACATCAAGCACTTTTTTTCTTCAATTATAAAACATACTTTCATAAGTGTTATATTTATGAATGATTGTAATTGATTCAGGCAGCTTTGGTCATAGAAACATGTTAAATCAGATTGTAATAATGAATCTAACACATAGCATCCAGTATAAATGTGTGGTACTGTAAAATTTGGTTGATAGTAGCAATCATAACTATGAGTATTATAATTAATTATCGGCGTATCCGTGTGTCCTATTTGTTCTGTAAGACATGTTGATTGTAATGATGCACAATTACAATTATTATAAGATACTGGAAATAAACTATCTGAACTATCAGACAGATTAATATAGTAATTTGTCGCTAATGCAGACATTAATTGATTACCTTTAGTTGTTTCTTGCAAATATTTTATTGATAAATTAAATGTAGTTGCTAATGATCGTTGAAAATTATTGACGAATGCATTCGTCGCTATGTTGAATAAATTTTCCGCCTGTACATAATCTGTAATATAATAACTTTCATTAAGACTAAGAAGTGAATTAGCACTCGTCGTTTGTACTAACTGGCATAATGTTGCTAACAGATCAAACGATGGAGGTCCAGTATTACAAATATCTTGAATAAAAGTAAGTGTACACGAGTCACAAATAAGCGCGATATTTTCAATCCATTCAGTTTGTATGAAATCAGAAGAGCACACTGGGTGGTAACTGGGATTAAATTGAATGAATCCCTTGTATTTGATTGATACAGGTGTACAAGGACATTTTAATGTATCTGGATATTTCAAAAGAAGATTTTTATAACGATCAAAACTTGGGTTTTGAACAGGCTTCATTATTGTAACTACCGTTTCTGCTGTATAGATAATAAGAATAGAGAGGGATAATGCTAATGCAACAAGAAATACACGTGTTGAAATTAATTCATTATTTTGTTCATGTACATCAGTAGGGCCAGATACAAATAAATTGAAGTTTGTTATGCACCTGTTCATTTTCCAAGAAAGTTGTCGTATTCGGATTTGTAATGTAATTTCTGTCAAATAATCGAAAATAAGTGAGAAGCTGATATCCTAGTTGAATTACATGCGAACCTGCTTAGAAGACAATACGAAGTGTTGACTTCCCTAGTTTTTGTGTGCTTTACTACAGAGATGGTGAAGTCTCAGTCATGACTGGTGAGATTTAGTTGTGCGACTGAGACTGATGATCTAAATATGTGACTGATTTTTTTACGATAGAGATTGTAGTCGAAAGTAACAGGCAAGCACAAAAAGAGAAAAGTGCGAAAAGTATCGGACGAGGAGGTGGAACGTGTCGTATTTATTGCTGTACTGCTGTTACCACCGGGCAAATGTAAGTTTTTAGAGAATATGAGAACGGGTTCTTTTAAATGTTTCCGCTGCTCGAGCAAAATCATTAGTCACCTCGTCCTGATTTAAGCATCAGTGAGTTTTATTCGTCAGATATAATCTGTAGGCTAGAAGATATTTAGTCAGTTTGTTGGACTCGAATCGTGCAGTACTGTTACCAAAGGAACCTTTCAAGCTTCTGAAACATTTTTCGCAAGCATAAGTCTAACGTATCGAAAAAATAAATGAACACTTGAACTTGTACTGCGACGTCGTCGAACTGCACATAAACTCAGTTTAGCAACAAAATTTTTGAAGATTTTTCTGCTGGGACTAATCACGATAATAGTTTCGTAACTGAGACTGAAAAAACGCGACTTAACTAGCTCTGATTTACAATGTGTTCTTTCGAAGGGCGTTTTTCGTTTTCAAAAATATTGCTTCTATCAAAAGTTACAGGCTTCACAGGATAAGTAGTAAAACTTTCAAAAATAAGCGAGAATATTGACTTTTTTGAAAGAAAATGCCTCTTCCTGTTATTAACAGCTGGAAGATGCAGAAAGCTGGCCAGTGTTGCGCTACTGGAGCAAGTTCTGAGAGACAGCGTATAAGTTTGTATTTAAAAATCTTAGTACGCGAATTCTGCGATTAGTGCAAAGAGCTTATATTTCTACGCGTCGTACTAAGTCAAACTCCGCAAATGCAACACGTTTTCCACTCATTCAAGTTTGATACCGTAGTGGTTTTGAATCCTCAAAAGTATATTTTATAATATTCATCTTGCCGACTTTTTGGCTCCATTGGTGACTTGTACTGACTTTTCGAAAACATTCAAGCAAAACCATAACTCACTCTCTGCAACGGTTGCAGTCTTCTTCTTTCGTATAAATCGAACTACAGCCAATAAAAGTACTTTTAGAACTGTAACGAGCCCACCAATGAGTCCAAGCACGGTTATAATCATGTAAACAAGATCATTGGATGATTGATATGTGTAGATACATTTTTGCACATTACACTGCTTATAGTAAAGATCATAATAATTTTCGTTAATACTCCAATTCTCAATCATCAGATTTTTTAATATACTATCAATACTTGTATTCGGCAAATATTGACTTGGAAATGTTGAATCGAGGATGGTAAAGTTTGCAGTGAAATTGGTTGAATTAAAAAGACGAAGTTGCAAATCAGCAAAACACTCTTGATCATAAAAACATCTCAAATCTGACTGTAGTAATGAATCGAGAATATAACATCCGTCCATTAAGCCAGGAATAATAGCTGGAACTATGGTTGTAGAATCTACTTGGCATATACTGTCGTTGTATACCTCACTGTATATAACACCGTCATATATATAAGAATTTGTTAGTAGCCCTGATAAAAACTGATTACCATGCGTTATTCCCTGTACTAAACTTAGAAAATTTTGAAATGAGTTATTTGTGGTCTTTCGAAATGTGTCCATCGCGGCGTTAACTGTTAAATTAAGTACTGTTTCCGGATTAACAAAAGTCGTAACAAAGAAAGTGTTGCTAAGCAGTGCAAATGAATTGATAACAGCATCGTTCGTTAATTCGCACAGAGTGCCTAATAGTTCAAATTGGTACAGAAAGTCAGTCGATCCATTATTGATCACATTTGTCGATGTACTATAAATATATTGAAACCAGCTGTTCTGAACAAAATCACTTTGACAAATACGGTGATAAGACACATTCAGTTGAATAAAATCTTTGTATTTAATCGTTGCTTGGGTGCAAGGACATTGTAATGTGTCATTGTAAAGTGGATAGAGTTTCGTATACACATCAATGGTAGGATTTTGCACAGTTCTTGTTACTGTTATTGATTTTTCTGCTGTATAGATAATAAGAATACAGAGTGATGAGACTAACAGAAAAATAGACAGATATGTTGTAATCCGTTCATTCTTGTGTTCATGCGGATCTGTTGTTGGGGCACAGTGATTGCAAATATTAAAACTTCTAATATAAAGAATCACTTTTTGTAAAAGTGCACGTAATAGTTGAAACCGTGAGGGAACTGCTATTTCTAAGAAAAATAGCAACATCAGAATTAGTGTTACAGTTTTACTAGTCTCCATAGTAATTAGCAATAGCTACGCTAAAAAGCTCGGCTCTGACAATGTGTATTTCCATTACAAAGCCCACTGTTTCACAAAAGGTTGCTTTCTAAGAGGCCAACATTTTTTCGTCAGCTCACTTTGATCTCTTTCTTCCAGATTTTATTCTACCAATTAGTCATACATCGGATTTCGGCTCTATCACAAAAACGAATTACAAAATTGGCAAGCAGCATTACACAGAACTGATTCTACATGGTTCACAGCTTTTATATGGAGTCTGGACATGCAAAAAGATAAATTTTATTATTTAAGTTTACGTCCTATTTAAAAATTTTACGTTTCCAACTACGTTCGATTTCTAATTACTGCTAATTAGTGCACGAATGCCATACAGATGGAACTGACCCGACGGACTGCTCGGTGTGGTACGGTATAGGAAGATTTTTAGCCCACACCAAGAGCCCTCTTACGTTTACGCATTTTCGATCAAAAAACTAACCTTTCCAAATTCTTGTTCGCCTACAAAGTTTGTAAAGAACGAGCGTGCTTTCGTCGGCTTCTCTCCGGTACTAAATTTTTTGATAACTGGAAGCTTTTGTGCGGATTTTATAACAGTGTCTAGAGCGTTTTGAAACAGTCGGTCGTCGCGTCGGTTTGGTCCCTTGATTTTAGACCGTATAGAACTGGGGAACGCACGTGAAAGATCTGAGTCTCAAAGATACTGACTTCAATGTGAAAAACAATCAGTTGTCCGAATTAGTGAATGAACTTACGAGGGAACCTTTCGAGGTGATTAAAAGCTTTTTGATCGACATCTAGCGAGTTATACGTTATCGACAATGCTGATTCCGAATATGATCATGGGACTGGCTCATAGTTCTTCGAAGATCCAGTCTTCTGGAAAACCAGTTTTTCAGAAATCCCAAAAAATAACCCAAGCCTTTCTTAATAATGCAGGATTGTAGCGCGCAAATTTCTGATTAAAATGATACATCCCC